TTTATATTTATATTTATATTTATATTTATATTTATATTTATATTTCCCTATAAATTTGTATATTTTTAATATCTACGTTTTGAACAAGGCAGAGCAGCTGTCTGTCTCCTTTCTTGTCTGTCTCTATCTGTCTTTGTCTTTAATGCTGTTGTTGTTTATTATCTTTGTTTTATTTATTTATGTTTGTCTCCGCCATTTAGATATTCTTGTTATTTTATTTTTTTAATTTGTCCGTCTCTTCTTTTGCTGTCTCTCTCTTAGTCTTTTTGCTGCATTTTTTGTGTCTCCTTAGCTGTCTCTATTTGTTTCTTTATTTGTTTTTATTTATTTATTTATATTTATTTATTTATATTTATTTTTATTTATATTTTTTTATACTTACGATTGCGCGGCTGCTCAAACCCCTTCAACTTCTTCCCTCTTAGGCATATGTTCCGCTGAAACTGCAGCAACAGCAGCAACAGCAGCAGCAGCAGCAGCAGCAGAATCAGCAGCAGCAGTAGCAGTAGCAGTAGCAGCAGTAGCAGGATACAGCAGCAGTAGCAGCACACATGTGCAGCAGCAGCAACAGCAACAGCAATACACAGCAGCAGCAGTTGAAGCCAACAGCAACAGCAGTAGCAGCAAACAGCAGCAAACAACAGCAGCAGCAGCAAGTAGCAGCAGCGGCAGCACAGCAAACAGCGGCAGCAGCACAGACAATGGCAGCAAATACTACACGAGTGCAACACTCGCCTATACTGTTTAGCAGAACTAACAGCAACAGCAACAGCAGCAACAACAGCCGCAGTAGCAGCAGCTACAGCAGCTACAGCAGCAGCAGCAGCAGCAGCAACAGCAGCATCCTACCGCCTTTAACTTTTCGAGTTTAGCTGCGGCTCTGTCTGCCTTTGCATCTGTAGTCGCATCAGGACAGCTATTTGGGTTGCCTGTTGCAGCAGTAGCAACAGCATGAGGAGGAGCTGCTGCTGGTGCTGCAGCAGCTTCTGCAGCACCTCCCGGCGCTCCCGCTGCAGTAGCAGCAGCAGCAGCAGCAGCAGCAGCAGCAGTGAGGCTGCTGCATGACTTTTGAGGTAAAGAAGAAGCCCTGGGATCGGATCCCTCAGACCCGTTTTCATTTGCATGCAAAAATGCAGCAGCAGAATTTTCTTCTTCTAATTCCCGCGCCAGCTGCAACTCTAAAGCATCCATCTGAAGAAACAGCAGCAGCAGCAGCAGCAGCAGCAGCAGCAGTAACAGCAGCAGTAGGAGCAGTAGTAGCAGGGGTAGTAGGAGTAGTAGTAGTAGTACCAACAGCAGCAGCGACAGCAGCAGCAACAGTAGTAGCAACAGCAGCAGCAACAGCAGCAACAACAGCAGCAGCAACAAAAGCGGTGCGGAGGAAACTCTGAAGCAGCAGCAGCAGCAATAGTAGTAGTAGCAGCTGCAGAAGCAGCAGAAGCCCCCGTTACACCAGCAACAACAGCAGCAGCAGCTATCAGATCAACAGCGGCATCAGCGACCGCACCAGCAGCAGCAGCAACAGCATCAGCGACCGCACCAGCAGCAGCAGCAGCAGCAGCAGCAGCAGCAGCAGCAGCAACAGCAGCAGCAGCTTACTGTGATATCTTCTTCGTCTCCCTCTTCTACGAATTCTCCAAGCTCATTTAAAACTTTACTTTTTATCAAAAAACAGCACAACAAACTCCCAGGCGAAGGCAAAGGAGTTGAAGGGCCTAAACCACAAACCCTAAACCCTAAACCCTAAACCCTAAACTGCGCTAGCAGCAAGCAGCAGCAGCAACTTCAGGAGCAGCAGCAGCAGCAGCAGCTTCAGGAGCAGGAGCAGGAGCAACAGCAGCAAACTGCCACGGCAGCAACTGCTGCATCCACTGCAGCAGCAGCAGCACAAGCAGCTGCAGGAGCGGCACCAGCAACAGCGGTAGCAGCAGCAGCGGCAGCAGCAGCAGCAGCAGCAGCATACTGCATCTATATACGGCGTCTCCAAGTATTTCGTTGATAATTTCTGTAATGCGGGTTTTCTGCGAGGTGGTGCAGTGCATTTCTAATGATAATATTATCGGCAGCTTAGAACGCTGCAGCAGCAGCAGCAGCAGCAACAGCAGCAGCAGCAGCAGCAACAACAGCAACAACAATAGCAGCAGCAGCAACCACATAGCAGCGGCAGCAAAAATAGCAGAAAAAGCAAGATTAGCAGCAGCAGTAAATTCAATAGCAAAAATAGCAGCAGCAGAAGAAGAAATAGCAGCAGCAGCAGCAGAAATAGCAGCAGCAGCAGCACACACACACACACACACACACACAGGAGCAGCACAGGTAGCATTAGAAACAGCAGCAACAGCAACAGCAGCAGCAGCTGCTGCTGCAGCAGCGCTGACAGCACCATCGCGAATATATATTTAAATACACAAAAAAATATTATTATTATTATATTGCATAACCAAACAAAGTAAATAAAGTAAACACAGTAAATAAAGTAAATAATAAAGGAGTAGATAATAAACAAATAAACAATAAACAAATGAACAAATAAATAATAAACAAATAAACAATAAATAAACAAATAAACAATAAACAATTAAACAATAAATAAACAACTAAACAATAAATAAAAACCTACATAATAAACAACAAAACAACACAACAAAACAATAAAGACAAAGAAATATAAAGAGAAGTGAATATAAAGACACAGCAATATAAAGACAAAGAAATATAAAGAGAGATGAAATAATAAAGATAAAGCACTATAATACGATAATACCTGAAAGCCGTAGTCTTTACAAGCTTGAATAACATCTCTAAAAGAAATACTGCCGGTCAGCTGATAGCCTCCGACCCCATGAAATAAAACAGGTTCACCGTCGGCGCCGTCCCAGCAGTCCAGCTCAACGCAGCGACAACCGCACAGCAGCAAATCGATGTACTGACCTACTGCGCTACGGCCTACTACCTGCAGCAGCAATATATTATCATCAAACAACAACAGCAACAGCAGCAGCAGCAGCAACAGAAGCAGAAGCAGATGCAGAAGCAGAAGCAGCAACAGAAGAAGCAGCTGATTGATGGAATGATATAATGTACTGCGACATATTATATGCAGCAACAATATTTTATCATCAAACAACAGCAGCAGCAAAAGCAGCAGCAGCAACAGCTAAGCAGCTAATCGATGTAATCAGCAATCAATGAAGAAGATACAGCAGCAGCAGCAACATATATAATGAAGATAAAAACAACAAATCATGCAGCATATAATGCAGCAGCAGCAAATGTAACAGCATCAATTGAAGCAGCTAATCGACATATATAGAACCCTCAACCCATAGTACTACCACACACATTCACTCCAGCAGCAGCAGCACAACCATCAGCAGCACAGACAACAGCAGCAGCAGCAGCACAAACAGCAACAGAAGCACAAACAGCATCAGCAGCACAAATAGCACCAGCAGCACAACCATCAGCAGCACCACCTACAGCAGCAGCAGCACAAGCACCTTCAGCAGCAGCAGCACAAGCACCTTCAGCAGCAGCAGCACAAGCACCTTCAGCAGCAGCACCTTCAGCAGCAGCAGCACAAACAGCAGCAGCAGCAGCAGCAGCAGGAGCAGGAGCAGCACCTGATCTCCACAGAGGTAAGTATTGTGCGACGAGTGTATCCAGTAATCGCAAAGAGGATGGCACAACGACTGATGAAGAGTTTGACGAAGAGGAGACATCAAAGAATTTGCAGAAGAACATAAAAAAGAATTAAACCCTAATAAACTCAGACAAACCCCTAAACCCTAATACACAAGACACAAGACACAATACACCCTAAACCCTAAACCCTAATTACTTAAACAAATGACCAAATAACGCATTCACACAAACCCTAATAAACCCTAATCAACCCTAATAAACAGTAGTAAACCCTAACAAACCCTAATAAACCCTCATTAACCCTCATAAACCCTCATAAACCCTTATGAACCCTCATAAACCCTAGTAAACCCCTATAAACCCTAACAAACCCTAATAAACCCTCATAAACCCTCATAAACCCTCATAAACCCTTATGAACCCTCATAAACCCTAATAAACTCCAATGAAACATCATAAACCCTCGTAAACCCTCATAAACCCTCGTAAACCCTCATAAACCCCAACCCCACACTGACAGGGCGTGTTTGTTTGTATGAGTCCTCTGCATTTCTGAAGAGTTCCAATTCTTCCTGCAGCGCCTCAGGTGTATCGACACCCTGCACCTCCTTCAAAAAGCGTATGTACCCTGCAGCAGCAGCAGCAGCAGCAGCAGCAGCAGCAGGAACGAAGAACTTTTAAGTCTAAAAGACAGGGAAAACGCCAACAGATCAGCAGCAGCAGCAACAACAACTGCAGCAACAGCAGCTGCAGCGGCAGCAATAACTGCAGCAACAGCAGCAGCAACAGCAGCAGCAGCAACAGCAGCAGCAACAGCAGCAGCAGCAGATGAACCTTCTTCTGAAATGAAGGCCTCCATGGGGTGTTTGAAAATATCAAAGTAGAGTTCAACGTCCGGCTGAACCAACAAATCCCTCATCACCTGCAAAGCAAGACAAACCCTAAACCCTAAACCCTAAACCCTAAACCCTAAACCCTCATAAACCCTAATAAACCCTAGCTATCTCGATACATTGATAGATGGATAGCTAAGAAACTGCAGAATATGCCTGCTAGCTAACTAAGCAGCTACGCATTTAGCTAGTTAGCTGCTTAGCTAGCTAGCTTGCTAGCTAGCTAGCTAGCTACAGTGTTAGGTAGCAAGCTAGCTAGCAGGGTTATCCAGCTAGCTAGCCAGCTAGCTCCAAGGTTAGCTAGCTAGTTAGCTAGCTAGCTAGCCATATAGCTAGCTAGCTAGCTGGAGTGTTTAGAAGACCTGTATGAGTTGGTGATGGTCTAGGTTGGGCTGTCCGTGCGAATTAACAATTTGAGGTAATTGCGAAGAAAGTAAAAAAGAAGAAGAAAGAGAAGAAAGACGCAAAGAAGGCGGAAGAGAAGAAGGTAAGAAACCTTCACGCAAACACAACATAAATATATATAAATATATATATATATATATTATATATATATTATATATATATTTGTATATATATATATATATATATATGTGTGTATGTATTATAT